TCCAGACATGAAGCCAGCTGTGCCCCCCCCAAGCAGGTGGCAGCTGGGTAACACGTTTCCTGAGTTAATCCCATTTGCTGCTAGTCAGCCCCATCAGCTTCAACTCGCACATACACTGGCAAAGCATTTTTGGTTTAGATTCATTGCATCTGAGGCCCCTCTTTCCTCAGGGACACTGCAGGGTCCCTGGTAACTGTTACCTCCATGAATTGTCATGGGGTACATGACATAGACAAGATTCAAAGATCATCAGCGTGTTTCAGAAACCCAGGAGACACATTGCCACCAAGTGCTGACCTAGTAGTTTTGGTTAAGGAGGTTATTTGCATGTAGATGCACAAATAGGACAGCGTCAAGGCAGGGCCTGGAGAGGTATGGGGCGGTGGGAGGAGTGATGCCGGAAGGAAACGCCAGGTGACTAACTCCAGGTGCCCCACAGTGTGGCTTCCTTACCTTGCAAGCTTTTTGTGTGTCCTGGAGTTTGGCCTTCAACCTTGCAGGCTCTGAAGGACCCTATCTCTCGAAGTCAGACTGGCATTCACTGACTATATGATCATAACAAACTTGCCGATTCAAGGGAGTCAGTAGCTGCTAATTTAAAGTCGATCACTTGGAGTAAATACTCAGGCAATTCTCAATTCCTCATATCTTGCTTTCTTTCCTCTCCCCCATGGGGAAACCCTTGGAGTTAAAAGATGGGCTCTGGTCAGACTGCTGCACCTGGCCCTCCTCGGGCCCTAAGGTATGGCCGGGTCCAGTTCACCTCAGCATCAGCCTCCGTTCCTGCCCCCCCTGCCATGGCAGCCACCGTCTTCCTCAGCCTCCAGTCCCTCTAGCCAGCAAGGGCTCTGTTTCCTCTCTTTCTGAGCCCAAGTACCCGCTTTAGGGCTGCCCCTTCTCTGCTCTGCCCTCTGTCCCCCCAGGGGTGTGGAGCTCTCTGATGTTTGTGTACTCGGGATGTTTGGAGAGCTTCTCTGGGTCCCTGCGGTACCTCTTATTCCTATGAGGTACTGAACATTGGACCTTCTTAAAATATCTCTTAATTCATATCTTGTTCTTTCGTCAAGGTTTTTTTTTTATTTCTTCACTTATATCTTTAATCATTCTTAAGCATCCTTACTTTAAATCCCTCTTGGTTGGCCTCCTAGCTTTGGGTATTGTTTTTTCTTTTGCATTAAGTCCCTCAACGTGGTGGTTTGTAGTCTCTTGAGGTTTGTGATTTTTTTTTCTTTTGTTGTGCGTGTATCTTCAGTAGAAACTCCCTCCCCACATACACATACCACAACCGTGAACTTTTCAGCTCGGCATTGTAGGACTATGCAAGTCATGTCAATTTGGTCCTTACTTACGCATGGGGCAGATCTGGACTATTGATTTCCCACGGGTGACATTTTTTTTCTGTGAACTTATAGAAAGAGAGAAAGCTTCCTTGGTCTTTCTTGAGCCAATGGATAGAATTTTTCTCTTCTCCTACCCATGGCATGGGCACCGGTTCAGGGCTCTGAGCCTCATGCACCTGCATGTTTGTGGTGCTGTGGTGTGAGATGGAGCCATTGCTTAAATACTGAGATGCCAGCAAAGCTATGGAGTGCTTTTTATATATTTCATAGAATCAATCTCACAGTATTCAAAGGAGGTAAATGGCAACTAGGTAGTTCATGGTGCACTCATTTGGCAAATATTTGTTAAGCAGCTATGATGTGCCATGCACTTCAGCAGAGTCTGAGGTTTCAACAATGACCCCAGATCCATGAAGCTTAGAGCATTGCAAAGAAACAGCAGGAACCTAAATAACCATATCAATGACCTGCTGTTACAATCTGAGGCAGCCCTGAAAGAAAGAGACACAGATATACTTGAGCTAATAAGAAAGGAAGCTACACTTGAGTTGCCATATAAAGAAGAGAGAAGAAGTTAACTAGCTGAAGGTGGAGAATGTTCCAGAAGGAGGACAATTCTCCACTAGTAATTTTCAACACTGGCTGCATAAAAATATGACCTGGGAAGCTTAACATTAAAGTGCCTGGGCCTTGTCCCCTGAGATTCCTATTTAATTGGTCTGCATTGAGCCCAGGCAACTGTATTTCTAAGAGTTCCACAGGTGACTCTATTGTGTGTTCAGAGTTGTAAATAGGGATTGCCAATGCCAGCAGCACGTGCGGCACCTGGGCAATAGTTTCACATGCAGACTCTCAGGTCAGCCCCAGACATACTGAAAGAGAAAATCTAGGGGGCCCAGCAGTCTGTGCTGTCATAAGCCCCCCTGATGATGGATGATTCTGGTGAGAACCACTGCCACAAGCACCAAACAAACGATGGCGCCCTTCTCCCCAGCCACCCTCCCACAGCATGGGTTTAGAAACCAGCACTTAACTATGTGGAACCTCCAAATAAGGTAGGAAGACCAACAAAGTTGTGTTCTTTTCTTATGATAGCTATTTTAAAACTTTCTTTTTAATTTCCAAGTACTCTCTAAAGGGCTTTTGCTCATTTTTTGGTTGCCTGGGCTTTACCAGCTTTAAGAATATGTTTAGTCTCCTTGTTGAACAGTAAGTTTGGGAGAGCAGCCTGTGCAAGGGTCCTGGGGCAGGAGACATATCATGGAACATTCAAAGAACCGAGGAGGGGCAGGCTGGAGGAGCACAGTGTGACTAAAACAAAAGGTGGTACCAAAGGGGACAGAGGCACAGGGAAAGGCTGAGCCATGCAAGGCCAGGGACAGGTTCTAAGTAGTGTACTTAGGTTTGCATTTTGCAAAGACTGATTTGGTTATTGTGTGTGAAATGGTCTAAAATGGCCCAGAATGGATGCTGGTCTGCAGGCATTAAAGTCAAGATGAATAATGGCAGGGACTTGCTGATGAATGTTTGAGTCCCTGAACTGAGCAGCAGGAGCTCTTTCAGGTAGGATGGTTGACTGAGACGTATTGAAGGAAAGACCATTGAATAGTGAGGCTGGTAAGACAGCATGTGGGAGACCGAGCAGCAACCAGAGGGGAGAGTATAGCTGAGAATGAGGAATAAAGTCAAACATCAATATTGCCTGGGGGTGTGTCAAATATTCCCAGCCCCACCTCCCTGAAATGTCAACTCAGTGTGACCACAGTGAGGCCAGGAGTACTGTTCACATGCTCCCAAGTGACTTTGCCAGTCAGCCAGGTCTGGGGACCACTGAAGTGAGCTGGCTCTCAGGGTGGGCGGAGTGACGTTGAAAAGATGACTGGTGACCAAATTGAGCGGGCCTTTGTGATACTGCCCAGGAGCGGTGACGACTGGCTAGCGCTGAGAGAGGGGCACCGCGCAGGTGGGGGCGGGGCTGCTGAGGGGGCTCTGCAGCAGAACACTGCGTAGTTTCCATCCTGAGCCTCAGAGGAGAGTGCGACAGCTACAGAATTTTGCATAGGTTTGTCCTCTGGATGACCACATCATCCAAACATCTCGGAAATAGTTTGTGAGGAGGTCTGAGCACCAGAAACAAAGCAGGCAGCTGTGGTCTTTAAATAGACCTCCGCACCAGCTGCAGGAGGGGAAGGTCCCAGGAGAGTTCTGGAACACCCGGCATCGTTCAGAGAGGCAGAACGTAGCTGTCTCCCCACCCCCACACCTCCAAGTGCTGGCTGGTCATCTTCCTTCTAGACAGGCTCCTTTAGAGTTTTTGGAAACTCACTCGCAACATGTTTGTCTGGTTAATTTACATAGTTTAGTGTGTAGTCAGTTCATTTCCCATCACGTAGTAAAATGTAAAGGGCTTTTTCCTCCTGACCTAAAGCAAGGTCTGGGAGGATGAGTTTGCACAGGTGAGCGGTGACCGGGGCACAGGCAGAGAAGAGGGGAGCAAGATTCAGGGACCAGTGCTGGTTTCTGGGCCTTTCTGGAGAGACGTGGAAGGGAGGAGGCTGGAAGGGAAGGTAGAGGTATAATAGAAACCAGGATTAGGGAACAGGGCAGCACAGACAGGGGCATCCCAAAATAAACTAGCATGAGTTTTTTGTGCTAGTTTTTCCAAGGGCTTGCCCAGCCTGCCTGAAATCACAGGAGTTTAGGATTTCTATGTTTATGAACAACCACTTTGTTCCTTTGTCCCAAGGGCAAATCCAGGTTTTTGTGGGTCTGAAGCTTATATAATTTTGAGTGTCTGCTTTGAGCAAAAGAGTTCAATCATGATATGAAAGTAAACATTATTTCATAATGAGATAGCCAATTACAACAGGTTACAAAATTGGAAAACACCGTAATTACTGCATTGTAATTTCCCTAAAATTGTGTAGCATTTTAATTAGTTAACTTCATAAAATACCTATAAAATACTTTTTCCTACATTTTGTCTGCATATTCTTTGATCACCTCTTCATGTGACAGTGTTTTTGTTACATCATTGTTTTATTGAGAGAAAAGAAAGATAATTCAGTATTTCCTTTGGCATGGCTGATCAAAATTTGTTTTTTATTATTGTTTAATACCATTCTTTCAGCTTTACCACTTGTTGATGGTATTGTTATATGAATTTTAAGGATCATTTTCAAATTTGATACATGTTTCTTTTACATTAGAACTATAAGATTTCAGGTGATTTTATTGTACAAGGTGATTTTTATTGTACAAGTTTTATTGTACAAGGACAAGCCTAAAATTCTCTTTAATTGATGACATTCAAAAGCAAGTTGGTTCCCATAGCCATATCTTACTTTTTCAAATTGTACAATTATGTGAACATGCTACTGCATTGCTGGGGGTCCTTCCAGGTAAGGGGTGCAAGATCCGTGGTGAAGCCACTTCTGATTGTTCATATACTTATTTTTTATTGCTCAAGAAAAAAGGTGATTAAAAACTAACATTTGCTTAACAGTTTAGCTAAATTGCCTCATTTAATTTGACATTTTTTTGAGATAGCTATTAATGTCCCCATTTTACAGATGAGCAAATTGATATTCAGTAAAGTTGTCTTTGGCCAAGCAAGGACCTGAAACGGACTGAAATTTCCTGGTGTCTTTCTCTTCCTAGATCCTGTATTCCTTGATTTTTCTCTTCATTGCTATGCATGCACTTTGCACCATTCCTTGCAAACCAAACCAAAATCTCCACAGAAATCCCCGTAAGTCTGTTAAGCATAAAGAATAATCACAGATATTTTATGGATTTGGCCAAAGAAGGTAACTACTTCTTTCTAAGAGACTTTCCACATCTTGATGTTGCGTCTCTGTTTTATCCCTAGGTGAGAGGGAAGCATCCCAGATTCAGACTCCAGAAGGATCGCAGAAGTCCTACCTGGGTCTCAGCTATTTGCAAGTCCAACGATGTGAGCCCGAGAGAGGCCGGGAGTGTTTGGCAAATGTGATGTCTTAATGGGCTGGAGCTGTTTGGTGGAATTTGTAACCTACAAGAGATTTCAGACCATATGACTAAATGCTAATGGATTGGTCTGAGGCAGGTTTTAAAAATACACCATTTTATCTACTCATAGCAGAGTTAACAGGTTTTGATGACTCTGGCCCTTTCTTTTGCCATGCGTACGTTACTGGGCCAAATAACCTGGCTGCGTTGGAAACCAGTTTCGAATTACTTGCAGGTGGCTGGAGGCAGATGAAAGCTGCCACAGAGGTGTTCCTCACGCTGTTCTCTAGTCCCCGGTCTCTCGGGCGGTGTGCTGACACTTGGATGCTTGTTTTACAATATCATTTGACAAGTGGGATTTATGTGTCAAAATTTCCGCCAAAGCCAAGAAAATGTCAGAGTAAGCAAAGTGAGGAAGCATGAGAAAAGGGGAAAAGGGGTGGGGGCTGCTTTTTTAACGCAGGAGTGGGCGAGCTGGACCCTGCCAGATCCTAACTCCACCAAACACACAGGGAAATTGACCAGGCTGCCAAACGCCAGAGCTTTCTTCGGTGTGTTTTTGTTCAGTGCCGTTACTGCCTTTATCATTAAGGAAGCGATGCAATAAAAGCGAGGCCTTTTCCCTGAACGCATGCGTGAAGATAACTTATTGGTCCAAGTCCAAAACCACTGGAGCCACGTTTAATTTGCTGCGTTTATTTTGTTCTGGGATCTGGTGTACAGAGGTGCTTGGGGTCGCAGAGACATCAGTGGACGCACCGATAATAAGTACAAAAGGAAGGGTCTTGTGCTTTCTTGGAATCTTCAAAATACTCTGGTTATGAAATATTCATAAATCCCCCTAAGCTTGGTTGAACTTTCCCGAAGGTTTTTATCATATGGTTATTTTAAAAAGATTAAACACACACTCACACACACAGATCCCTAAACCTTACCTGAAACAGTTAGTATGTCCTATTAACTCCCACATGAGATAACTTTTTCCTCACTCTTTCTGTGGTGTGGGGCAGGGAGAGGCGACAAGAGATTGACTGTTTAAGTCTCCTCAAGACCTGCGCTGTTTGCTCACTCAGCACATTAAGAGCATGTGTGCATGACTTCATAAACTATCGGATGACATGCAACCTTCTTTAGACTCAATAAAGAAGAGTAATGAGTTATGCAAAGTTATTTCTGACACGGGGAACAGTAACTTTCCAAAAAGGCACCATTCATAGGGGCCAGGCTGGCCCGGCTCAGGGGCCATCGTGCGTTAGTTCCAAACACTCAGGAAAGAAGTGTGGCTGCGACACCATGTCATGTGCCAAATGTAATAAGTGGGTTATGAACAAATCACTATAAAGCATAGTAACAAATGCCCATACTCTCTCCATTCCATCCCTCTGCGGGGATTCAGGGCCTCCGGGGTCAGAATCGACTGCCTAGGGAAGGTTTAGGAAGTGTGAGTGTGTGTCCTCCCGATGCCAATGAAAGACACAACATCTCAGTGGCCATCAGCCTGGGGTCTGAAGATACCTAAGCTGAAAATGCTGAGATTTGGCCAAAGTAATAAGTACATTGGCTCTCCTTGTAATCTCTGGGTTTTTGTTTAATGGCAATCTGGGTGTAACCTCAATGTAAGGCAAGAAGCACTCAAATGAACACGTATGTTTACTCGATAGGGAGAGACAGATACCGATATGTATTTGGGGGATGTCCTACCTTTCTAACTTTCTCAGCCTTCCTATGTGCAACTTAGAGTGTGTTTTCCGCCAGGATTCTGGGCCATCAAAGTGTCAATTTTTCCCATCTGCAGATGGCTAAGTAATTTCTCCTTGTGGAAATGGTGTTTATGGGGGAAATATCATGTGTATAGTTGCTACTTAGTTAAAATAAATGCTGGGAAACATACCTGGGGCCCATCGGCATCGGAAGCACCTTATAAAGTGGCCCCGAAGCTGCCTTGCTGATTTAGAAATTTTGAAAGTAAAAAGATTGGGATTTTGGAAAACTCCCACTTCATATGATGTCAGTGGGTTAACTGTGTGCTGTTAACTGCTAAGAATCATCGTTTTATTAGTGGTTTAACTAGTACAAACTGCCTACTAGGAGAAGTGTACAGAAGCACAATGAACGAACCTAGCAGGCACAGACATTTATTTTTTCCCCAATTCTGTTAAGATGATCCACTACTAAATAAAGACATTAATTGTACTGGCTTATACGGACTTGTTAAGTACATGTGTGTGTCTGTGTGTATGTGCGTGCGTGTGTGTGTGTGTGTGTGTGTATATGTGAAACTGAGGGAAAATTAGGGCAAGACAATTTAATTAGCCAGTGCGAAGAGGGAAAAAGGGAGGTTTTGCTCCTCCCAGTAAAACAATTATTTTTTGGATATGATTATTTTTAATGTCTATAATAAATAGGAAGTAAGAGCTCCACAGGTGTTAGAGATGATCAGAGAAGGCAAGTGTGGGTGACGCTCTGCTTGGTGGAGGTGGAAGGTGGGCATTATTGGGGCCTATTTGCTTGGTGCCCTAGCAGACGGGGGCATTTCTGAAAGTCGTGTGAATCAGGTGGAGAAAGTAATTTGAGAACCTGATATCACTGATGAATGGGAAATAAGAAAGAGGCTGAGAATCCAAAGATGAACAAGTTGTAATGAGGGTCCATGTGAGGTGGAAATAATAAACGCACACTAGTGGCTAAGTGTTATAATTCTGTTATTTTCTCCCACTAAACTCAGCATGTCAGAAGCAGAAAAAAAAAAGGATGTTATGGGGTTAAGTAAGGATTTTCTGGACCTGCCCCTGAGAGAGCGTGAGTTGAGGGCCTCAAAGGTGCTGCAAGAATGAGGCTGGAAGTATTGACGACAGGGTCCAGGCTGGGTGAGAAAACTGAAACCAAGCGACATTTGGGAGGGTAGGGCGGGATGAGGGGGCTAGAAATTTCAGGGAATAGGCATAGAGTGTGAGAAGTGGAATAATTAGAGGTAGAAATGGGAGGGTTCAGTTTTACTGAGAGAACACACTATGATCTGGATGTTTTTTGGGCCCTCAAGATTCACATGCTAAAACCTAATCGCCAAGGTGACGCTATTAGGAGATGGGGTCTTTGGGAGATAATTAGGTCACCCAGGGCTCCACCCTCACGAATAGAATTGGTGCCCTCATGAAAGAGCCCCCAGAGAGTTCTGTGAGGACACAGCTGGAAGGCGCCATCTACCAACTGCAAAGCAGGTCCTTGACAGACGTCAAATCTTCCGACACCTTGCTCTTAGACTTCCCAGCCTCCAGAACAGTAAGGAATACATTTCTGTTGTTTATGGTGTTTTGCCATGGAAGCCCAAACAGACTGTGACAGAACAATTCCTGGCAGTGGCTGGTGTCTGGACGGTGGCCCTGGGAACAAACCGACGTGCGGGGCTGGAGGAAAGGTCACCGCTCCCCGAGGCTGGGAACATGTCTGAGTCAACACCCGTGTTGGCTCGCATAGGATGATGTTAAGATGCGCCGGGTGAAGAGAAAGTGCACATAACTGTGGGCGACTTGCTTGGCTCCCAGAAAGATGGTACCCTTCTTGATTTTCTGTGTCTGTATGCCCAAATCCTCAGTCGATAGTGCTTTTAAAAATTCCTGAATCAAAAAGGCCCAGCAGAGAAGCCCCACGTGCCCACCCTGGCAGGCCGTGCGGTGGACAGCGGCCTGGGGAAGTCGAGGGCCCTGGCGGTGGAACGGCAGCCGCGGAGTCCTGCCGCTGCCTGCCTTGTGCAGCTCTGGCTACATAACAACCTCTCCGGGCCCCTTATCTGTGAAATGAGAGGTTTGGCTAATGTGGTTTCCCAGGAATTTTCTGGCTTTAAGTCACCCTCGGTTTCAGCAGAATATTTGTTTCTAACCTTTCCCAGGCTGCCATTGAGTGGGCCTAATTGCTACCCCTTCGCCGATTCCACCCTGCCCCACCTCACCCTCAGATGACTCCCGCTTTCCACTCTGAGATAACAGTCTCAATTAGCTCAGGATAATTTCCCCAACTGCCGAAACTATGTCCAAAATGCAAACTTGTGGCTGCTGATTCACATACTGCTAGAGGCGCACTGCCTCTTTCCGATGGGTCTCACGTGTGTTGCCACTCCATTCAGAGACACAGCCACTGGGAAAGGGCTGGCGTAACCTGGGAAAGTGGCCCCTGCAGCTGTCATCACGAGAGTCGAAAATGTAAGCGAGACGAAGCTTTGAAATCACCACCCATATCTCTTCTACGATGTGACAAGTCAGTTGTGCATGGCCCCTGTCCTTGGGTGCCTTAAAATGGAAAACATATAAGCTCACAAAACACCATATAAACATCATCTTGTAGCGTGAGTAAATAAATAAATGATTTAGGAGTCAACAGATATTACCCAAGAGCACCCTTGTCGGGGCCTCAGGTCTCACTGACAACATATATTTGGAGTTCATCTGTGCAGGCCAACACCACGGGAACGAATGAGATGCAGAAGGAGGCAGAAGGAGAGTGGAGTGCAAAGAGGAGGCAGAAGGAGAGTGGAGTGCAAAGAGAGACGTTCTCAGCAGAGTGCTCAAAGGAGCTCTCTCATTTACGGGGCTGCACGACAAAAGGAAGCAATGAAGACATAGAAGGAGTTGATGAGAGGGAGAACTGGGTGAGTGAAGTTCCACAGTATCTGGGAAAATGCATCCCTGGGGAGGAGGAGGCAGGTCTGCAGAAGAAAATGACTCAGGTCAGTCAAAGAAGTAAGGATGTAATGGGTTATTGGATTTGCCCATGACAGGGTCATTGATGACTTTCTCATGAGAGTTTCTGTGGAATTATAGGGCAGGATCCAGATGGCATGACTTTACATAGCAAATGATTGGAACAGAAGTGTTGTTTTCAAGACTAGACTATTCTTTCAGAAAGATCTACAGCAAAATTTGGTACTCAAGGGAGATAATAAAAACAAGGGGCAAATTTGCGGGGAGAATAAAACTTGGCTTGTCGTTAAAACAAAAGGGAAGAATTGACTGAAGCAGAGCACTGATGACACAGAGAAGGGTGCTATGGGTGAAGCAGGAAAATGGGTAAGAGATGAGATCATAATCCCAGGGGAAGGAGCGAGGGGAGGAAGGTGAAGTGATTTTGAGGTTGCAGGGATGAAGGATATCAGCACAGTAGTGGACCTAAAACTGTTCAGTAACTTACATTTTATGCAGAGAATTTCTTGAAGATTTCAGGTACAGGAAGAGGGAAGAAGCAACAGAGTGTCATGATACAAGAGCTAGACTTAAAAAGTTCTAGAAGCAGATGACTCAGAACAAATAATTTGCCCTACCTCCAAATATGCTCAAAGATGAGACTAAAGTCATTGCCTCACCTGCCTAATAGGGAAGAATTTTCTAGAAAGTGAGAATTGATTGGAGCAAAGGTTGTTCTTTCACCTCTTGTCACCATTGCCTCTACTTCTATTGTGAACCTCGAGGGGCAGGAAGAAAAAGCATTGCTGATCTTGGCAAAGACCTCCACATGTCTGTGACTTCATTGCTCTATTGGGTATATGTTTTGACAGCCCAGGGTTCTGCTGGTGTGACACAGCCATTAATTTAGCTAAAACTTTCATTAACTAGAAAACTTTACCTACTTATATCACCAACTTTGTATATACACGCTAGTATTTGTCTGACTGGAGACTTATTTGGGTAAATAGATACAGGTCCACACCTCCTTATTGGAACAACATCTAAGTAATGCTTTGCCTCATCTACTGAATCTCACACACTATAGTAATAGTCAACAAACTTATCCTCAGCTATCTATGCAAAGATTTGGAAAAAAATATATACTCTTATAAATTTTTAAGTTAACATCTAAAAATGTTTTCACTAAAACTATAAATTTTATCTATTCCAAAGGATATCATTTTCCAGTGTGTTATAAATGAATGACATTGAAAAATAGAACCATTACTTCATTCTTTGAAAGGTACTAATGACATCAAAACACCATAGAGATAATCTGAAAACAAACTTTAATTTATTAAAGTATAACAGTAAAGAATGCACACAAATTATAAGTGTACATTTCCCCGGTTCTCACAGAGCTACCACATTCATGTAACCAGCAAATAGTTCAAGAAGTCCCCTTTGCTCCTTCCAAGATAGTCCCCTGCCCCAAGGTCACAATATTGTCACAATGTTGTGACTTTAGTATCATAGATTACTTTTCTGTTTTTAAAACTTTATATAAATGGCATTATACAGTATGATTTTTTTTTTTTTTTGAGTATGGCTTCTTTTGCTCAGCATTAAGTTTGTGAGATTTATTGTTGGGAGCAGCTATATTTTATTCCCATTGTTGTAGTGTATTCCATGTTAGCAACATACTACCATTTACTTATTACACTGTTGGTGAACATTTGAATTCTTTTCAGTTTTTGGCTATTATGAGCAGTGCCGCAGTGCATACTTTTATACATGCCTTTTTGTGAAGTATGTAAACATTTATGTTTGTTGTATATCTAACTGTGAAATTGTTGGGTGATAGGGCCACGCATATATATTCAGCTTTATTGTCTACTGCTAAACATTTTTTCCAGGGTATTCTTACCAAATTATATTTTTACTAAAAGTACATGAGAATTTTAGTTGCTCCACATCATTGAGTAGTCTCTCTGTCTTTTTCATTTTACCTATTCTGGTGTGTATAACATTTGAGCACTTTTAAAAATATTTTTTTGCCATTTGAATATCCTTTTTTGTGAAGTGTGTATTTAAGCCTCTTTGATTTTTCTATTGGGTTTGTCTTTTTCTTATTGATCTGTAGGTGCTTTTTACATATTCTCTAAATAAGCTTTTTGTCTGATGTACATATTGCAAATATCCTCTCTCACTCTTTGGCTTGCATTTTTACTAGTGGTGTCTTTTTATATAAAAGTACTTAATTTTAGTGTGTAACAATTTTCAATTATTTCCCCTTATAATTAGTACTTCTTGCGTCCTATACAAGAAATTTTTACCCACTCAAGATTATGCAAATGTTCTTGTAGATTGTCTTCTGGAAGCTTTATTGTTTCAGCATTCACATTAGGTATACAATTACTATTGTGTTACCTAATTTATTAGGTAAAAGTCAATTTGAATTGATCTTTGTGTGTTGTATGAAGTAGATTAATTCCTCCCTGATCC